TTTTTACTTTGTCTAGTTTTAATGTGTGTCTTCTAAATATATTTGAGGCTCCAGCTGTTGACACCTTTGTTTCATGATTACAGGCATTGTCTATTGTGTTGTTAGTGGGAAAGGGCTGCTTACAGTGTTTGTTCATACACAGTGTCCGTGTGCCTCTGTTCTGCAGAGCAACAATTTAGAAACCAGATTTGTGCACATCTGGACTAAAATCCTGTTCACTCAGTTTTGCTTGAGAGGAAATCGTGGGTAATGTCAGATGACAGAGACAAAATGTTACTTAATGTAAGATGCTCATAATTAACAGTAGTGTAACACATCACGTGGTTAAATCAACTTATATTTTGGGCAGTGGAGGGAAGTTTTGCTTATTTGGAGCTGCAGTTTGTGATTCCACATATGCAGGAGGTCATTGAATAAGACTTAGCATTACTTTATGTCCATTTGTCCATCTTTCACGTTATCATTTAGTCTCCATCTGTTAATGGAAAATCTACAACATGTCATCATAGCTCTCGTTACATACTGAAGATGTACATGTACCTCCTATTGTATTCATTGTATAAGTATTACTGCTGCAGAGTTTGGTCAATAATCAAGTAGTCAGTTTAAAAAAATTAGAACTAATGTCATATGATGCTGTAGCCAGCAGCCAATTAGCATAGCTTAGCATATAGACTGAAAACAGTGGGCAACAGGTAGTCTGGAACACAGTCCATCTATCAACACCCCTAAAGCTAACTATTTAATATGGAATAACCTTTTGGGTTAATCAGTACAAAAACAAGTAGTATTGAGGTTTAAAGTTTTTATATACTGTAGGGTCACATGCTGGACCTGTACTTGGCTGGGTGTAGGAACCTCCTATGGTTCAAAAAAGTGAATAAAATCACACATAAATACTGTGACTCAAAAGCTGTTGCTGTTCCACTGGTAGTTCAACAGGTATGCAGTAAAGTACAGTTTCTCTGTTTGCTTCTTTGTTTCTCATTTCAAACTGACCATGAAAACGGCTTTTTGCACAAAACATTTTTGAGTAGCACAGAATACATCTCTCAGCTACAGCACTTCACCATCAATGTCAGACTAACAAAACTATTCTGCAAATTCTTCCACATTGCACTTATTTTCTTCCCTTTTACCAGCAACCCTGAGAGAAAATAACTATGTTTAACAAACCATGAACGTAAGCTGACAAGACCTGAGAGCGTGGAAAAGAACAGAGGGAGGGGGAGCAGGAGTTTAAATCAAAGTCTTAATTTAAATGGCTTATTTAAATAAATAAAATAGCTGCTGGCATGAAATGGCTAGCTCTAAATTATTTTTGAAGTTATTCACAAATGTAAAACTTCCCTGTGTCAGATAGTGATGTCCCAGGTGAGATGTGTTTGTTTAAGAACTGCATGAGATGACATTGTTGTCCCACAATACATCTAATGGATTTAGAAGAAAACTGTTTGATTTCATGCAGAGGTGGTAGTAGTTGGGTTTCAGAACCTGTCACTACACTGTTTTTATCGGAGTAGACAAAGAAAAGCTGACTTGCGTCTTTGCCTGCGATTTGTGCTGTGGCCTTATTTTCCTCTTATTGTTAGAAGTGTTGTCAGATAAAATGTAAGTTGTGTTAAAAGGAGCATTACATAATCCCAGTCTGTTAACTATATTACTTCTACTGCAAAATCACTGTATAATGATTGTAAATTAAGGTCACATTTTCACAGTATGATATCTAAAGGAATGACTGTTTTAAAATGTTAATTCTTTGCTTGTGACATGTTATAGTTGAAGTAATGAGGAGCTGGAGTGTTAGCTTTAGGTGGTCAAGTCAATGGTAGCCTGTAATTATGGCAAATCATAAAGAGTTTGAAGCATTATTTAAATGTCAGAATTTAAATTTGTTCAAGTGAATGTGCTGAGAAACTGTTGAAGTTTTATTTAAAGAGCGATTACTCTTGAACTGTGAGTTGAAGAGTATGAGCTGAAGGCAGTGGAGACGTCAGTGGACATACTGTATTGGAGCTGAAAGCAGGTGAAGTGTCAGTTGAAACAAAGCTGACATGTATCTTTATCACGCAGTTCCACTCTGGCATCTTCCTTCTCTAATGTCAGATATGTTGTAAGAATAACAGAAAATACATACTTGTTTTAACAAAGTAGCATTAGTAATGACTTTTCATCTTTAGCACCTCTATGTATATTACAGAGGAAATCAAAAATCATCATAGCCACATTTTCAGAGTTTATCTAATTATCCCTGACAGAAAGCCAAGTGAAGAGAGAATGTATGACAGAATACTGCTTTGCTGCTACCTTCTTTGGCTGGCTTAAAAACGCATTTTGCTTTTGATGTTTCCTTTGTCTGAAACCACCTAGCAGTCAACAGTGTGAGTACATGGAGCTGACAGTGTTTTAAAGGTAGTGATATTTGCATTAAGCATATTTGAGTATCATAAAAAGCACTGTGTAAATAAAGTGCATTATTATTATTGTATTTGAACCAGATCTCCATGACATGCCAGTTACTCCCTTTAACACTGCTGCCCTAGTCGGGGCAGCTGGAGGACAACTGTGGCAGTGAGATAGTGATGACTTTTCCCCTTTTGTTACACATTGACAGAAGGTCTTGCCAAGTCAGACGCTAGCCCCGACAGCGCTGTTTGTGCTGCCCTGTTCAGTTTGCTGGGGACATTGAGTTGAGCAAATAGAGGAGGGTATTATCTGTAGAGTTTGACCTTCACTATCGGTTACACTAAAATGGACAGTGATCCTTCCATTTATGTCCCCAGGTGAGAGCAGACAAGCTCACATTTATAAACTATGACCTTCAATTTTGTCCTCCTTTTCATCATCAGGCCTTAGCTGAAGATAATAAAAGCAGCAGAGGGCCACAAGCTGTAACTTAGATAACATTTACACTTACTGCTAAGACTCTCATACAGTACCTTTGCATTAGTCTTTTTTTAAGTCACTAGTAAGGTTCATGTCACCAGATCTGTTATATTTGAATACCATTTTTAAATGATTATTAAATGCCAATAAGGCATTCTGATTCTATTTAATGTAAAAAATCACTATAAGGTAACAAACTGAAATTAGAATTGAGATGACAGCAGCTGGAGCTGAATCGTTTAGGGAGGACGACGTTAAATCTTGCTTTGCTGGCTTGGCACAGAGAGAGGTGCAATGGCTAAACCTTTGTGATTTTCTGGTTGTGATTGGTGGAACCTTCCACAACCCTGAGACATCCCCCTTTAATTGAAGCTGCAGTATGTAACCTAAGGTAGCACTAGCATGAAACTCCAAATCAATCTGCTTGGCCCAGCACTCCCTCCTTTCTGCTCCACTATGATCTGCTATGCTCGGCCCAGCTCTTTAGATATGTTATGAAATTACAATAAATGAGAATGCAACAGAATTTATTGATCAAGCAGAAATAATTGAAAGTCTCTGATTGGTTAGAGAGGTCAGTCCCGCTCCAAAACATTAGACGCTAACTTTAGAAGCAGCTGCACTGCTGCCAGTGCTGTTCAGTGAGTCTGGGTCACAGGAGGCTTCAAGGCGTCATTTTGCAACATATTTCTACCACAAAAAATATTTGAAAAAAGTCCCATACCGCACCTTTAAATCTGTAAAAAAGCACTTCCTTGAAGCAAATACTGAAACAAATATAAGCAGCAACCGAGTAGACTTTCCTTACTTTTTCTTAGTCGCTACAGGTTCCTGCAAAAGTTGTAGCTCTCTGCTGTATGAATTCTTAACCTTGCTCAAAAACAAATACCACAGCAAGATGGCCAAAAAAAGAAAAAAAAGACAACAACTCTGGTAGTTTTAAATGTACAAAGTTGCACAGATCTTTTTTTTAAATCAGTATTTGAAAATATTTAACAATGAAAGTTGAATCAAACAGTAAGAATAAGTAATACCAATAATTAATATCAGAAATAACTAGACTTAAAATCAGATTTTTTTACTGAAACACCTGAGGGAAGCAAACCCAGAAAAAAAAAAAAAAAAACACCAAAGTTTAGAAGGAAAAAAAATAATAAAATCACAAAATAAAGTAAAGACAAGGTCACACAGCGCTCACTCACTTCTTCTGTATGTACAGCACATTCGCTCCACAGTGCAGGACAGCAGTGATAAAAAGAACAGTGGTGAGAATGAAAACTCGTCTCCACAGTCAAACAGCCTTTAACAGCAGTACTGGCAGCTGTGTGGATTCACATGTAAAGGCAGGGTGAAGCAGAAAACCACATCAGAAACAGGACAACCGATTTGGAGCTGGCTAGCAAGTGTGTTTTCTTTCCTTTATGCTTGTATTACAGTCACAGAAAGCATGTTCAAAATACAACCAAGCATACTATATTGTTTTATTGTTAAAAAATGGTCCCTGGATGCATAAAACCACTTTGCTGACACCCCCTGACGACTTTAAGAACAAACAAAAACAAAAAACATTCAAGCTTGTTTCGGTAAGAAACATGACATCAACATTAGTTTGGAAGTGATTTAAAGAATCACATTTTGTTGTTTGTCTGTACAATAATCAATACCCATTATGATTCAATCCTTAAAGTAAATTTTACTTTCTTTCAAATCTCACACAACACCACATTACTAGAAAAGAGGGAAATGCAGTAAAATAGAAATGCAAAGAAACCTTTGGTCAAAGAGTGTACTCACAAAGGAAAATAGGCAATGACAAGTTCTAAGGAAAGCATCACTCGAAATTGAACAAAACAGAAATTAGAGCAAAACTCAAGTGCTTCTCTATACGTTTCTCTTGCTAACAATATGGCCCATAGTTCAACCCTCCTCCCATACATTTGGGTCTGCAAGTTATACTGTTTCCTCACAGAGGAAAGAAGGAAACACAAAGGTGCTCTTTTCATTAAAGTCTTGATTGTCCACAAAAAATTAAGTGCCAGCAGGAAATGCTGCAGCAAAAGGATATACAATCACAGCGTAAAATGACAATGTCCTTTACTGGAAAGGAATTCAGAGTCCATAACACGCTCTTGAAAAGACTGAACCTGCACTGAATTTGTGTTTGCAATGTTTGTGACTCTGTGTGTGCACCTGTGTCTGTAATCGTCACAGTTGTTGGTGTTCACTTTCATTCAGACACTGTCTTATCCTGTGTTGCTTCGTCTTGCAGGCAGCTCTTGCGGATGATGGGCAGGGGGTGGGCTTCTGTGTTGAAGACCCAGTCTTCCAGTGGGAGAAGGTCGTCGTCAGAGAAGAGCAGGTACAGATACCTGTGCAAACAGGAAAAACATTTAATTGAATCCAAATCTAGGCTGCTGTTCGTTTGAACACACGTAAAGGAATGCTTTGTAGTGTTGTTACTTTTTCAAAAAGTCAAATTTTAACTAACACCCATAGAACATAATTCCTCCCCTGTTTGTTTTCTTGTCTGTTGTCATACAACTGCACTATGTGTCCTGAGACTGTGGTGTAACTTAGAATTTTACCTTTAATGTTGCTCCAGTTCTGCCGTTTTCCTGAACCTTTCTCTAGAGACAATGGGCTGGATGTCCTTGCTTATAAATCTTGCTAACCTATCAGTGATGGCAGTTTTACAGGCTACTTGCAAAATAAATGTGAGGAAATGTGAGTAGTCACGCAAGGTTCTACAGGTGATGTTGCTTCACTGCTTAGTGGTGGCTCTGCCGTGACAAACTAGCATGTGGATCTGGGTGTTCTGTCACTGTAGAGTAAGACAGCGGCTTTTTACAGAGTTAGCAAGCACCCTTATATTTGTTAGTAATTTTGTCACCTATGTTAAACACAAAATACTCCCATACACTTGTCAAATGTTTTGTAATTTTCCAATCTGTGTGGCTTTGCTACATTTTTATAATCATAGCTTACAGTTAGGTCAATAGTGCCGTAGGGATGACGTATTTTTGAAGGCCACCCTGGAAGTTAGCATCACCATGGCTCCCTCAAAAAAAGCCAGTGGGGTTTTTTGTAGGATTTTGGATTACTGTATTAAATAATCTCTGTGACATACAATAGTTTGACTCTTAGGGCAGAGACACACCAAGCTGACAGTCAGCCATTGTGAGCGTCTGTCGGGGCTCATCTTCCCGGTGTGTCCCGCACTATTGGCAGTAGTCGGACCTCGTCGGGGGCTTTTCAGATGATTTGACATGTTGAATTGGCGTCAGCCCACTGGGTCTTGTTGATGAAAGAGAGACCACTTTGATTGGCTGTTGAGCTCAACGAAACAATGGACGAGAAGAGAGCAGTTCAGGAAAGCCCCTTCAGCCTGTTACTGTAGTATCCATGATTTCACCCATTTAGTGCTGTTTCTCCTGGTTGTTCACCTCTACAACCTCCTTTCTTTTTCCACAACCAAAAGACCAAGGGCAGAGAACAGCAGAGCCATTTGCAACTTCTTATCAGACATATTCCAAATGAAAGTAGTTATAAATGGCAGCTGTTTTTAAAGAGATGTGCCTTGTTTATAGCTTATACTTGCACATTCTAGTTTATCTGCTTTCCCTTTCTGAATGGCAAATACAGATGCTGCCAACTGCTGGTAGGGAGAGTTATTTCTGTCACACAGGTGCAGAATGTACGTGCTAGTTGGCTGTTGGTTGTAGTCTCTGCGGCATGTTCAAGTGCCAGTTTTTCAACCCAACTGGTCCAGACAAAGCTTGCGTGAGGTGATGCATCAATTGGCCGTCGTCGCTGGTAGTTCTTAAAACATCAGCTGCATTTTTGCCCTTACACATTTTTTTCAGCAAGATAAACCACATGTGAACAACACTTTTATGATTTTTTGAAGCCAAAATAAAATCACCAGAAGTAACCCCAGATATAATCGCCAGAAGTAAAAAGCTATTGTTAGGCTACTAGACTACACCATAGTCCCATGACTTCAGTGTCACCACCACAGCTTCCAACTTGTAAATTTGATTTAGCCTGATTATCTCTTTTTCAAAATCATTTCCTCTTAGCATGACCTGTCACTAAAGCTCTGAACAATCATAACTTTTTACAGCATCTGAAATTAGCAAGAGTCAAGGGCCTATGGATTACATCTCTGGCTATTGTTAACAAATATTAGGGTCTGTTTCCATAATGATGAAACACGTCACCCAGTACAGCGGTGTGCTTCCCTGATGTGTTAATTGTTTTTGGAACAGCGATCGAGGTCTATGGTACGGACAGATAAGCTAATAATTTTCCTAGTCCCATTGTGAATAGCTGTCACAAGCCTAGAGTTTTGGTTAGTGCTATTAACAATGTCCTGAATCCTTGTAAAATGGTGTTTCCTAAGGTGTCAAGGGCAATTTGTGAATAATTTTTAAAGTTCTTAAGGATCTCTTTGAATATGTTGCTCCTACTATTCCTATTATTATGAGTGTCTCCTTAATTTCTGGCCAGGTTCCTGGTGAATATAAACAAGCAGCAATACAGCCTGTACTTAAAGTACTGGCCTTGATACCTCTATCCTATTTAACTTTAGACCAATTATTATTAGATCCAACTATTTTTGAGAAATTCCAATCTGAGTTTAAATCTAGACAGTATGGAATTGGCACTCCTGAAGGTTTCTAATGATATAATACTTTCTGTTGATCATTTTAATCATTTGTATCTTTCAGCAGCTTTTGATACTGTTAACAATAAAATTCAGTTGTCTCTTCTCAAGCACTGGGTGGGTATTCAAGGTAATGCATTGTAATTGAGATCCAGATTAAAATCCTGGGGAGACAGAGTTTTTGCAGTGGTAGCTCCAAAACTCTGGAATAACCTACCTTTTGAAATTAGAGTGGCCTCTAATCTTACTTCATTTTGCACCCATCTTAAAATGTATTTATTTTCTCAGGCGTTTGGCATCACCACCAATTGAGGATCCTGAACTGATCATTTTTGTTTTGATTGTAACTAACGATTATATTATAGCATCATTCATTCTATTATAGTACCATTGGCTCTTTTTATCTGCTAATGATGTTTTTATTTTATATTTAAATTCTAATTTTAACACATTTTAAGCATTTTTCTTTTTTGCTTTGTACAGCACTTTGTAAGGGTTGTTTAGAAAAGTGCTCTATAAATACATTTTGCTTTATTCCAGGACAGACATTAAGCGTGAGTAGAGGCAATTCATTGTTGGTTTTAATCTCTGAATGAGTGTTTAAAAGACTATAGAAAATGATTGTCCTCATCATTTAATTTACCTCCACTGCTGCACTCTAATTACATCAGAACATAACCAGCCCGTGCAGGTCACACTGGATCAGTTGCACATTCATTGTAACGTTATGTTAGCCACAGAGTGAAAATGTGAGAAAGACAGGCTAATTTGCTAAAGTTTTTCAAGCTGCAGCAGGGTCAGAAAGCAGAAGCTAAGAGGCCAAGCTGGACCTAATTATAAAGCCTACAAGTGTTAATGAAAGGGTTAGTACAAGCCAGTCTGATGCTGGGGTCATAGATTTCAAAAGGACTGAAGCAAAGCACAGAATAACTCCTGCCCCGTGACTGCTTTAAATAACTGAAGGTAAAAACATGTTTATTTAATGTTACTGCATTCTATGTATATTATATGGTGTGCTTTAAATTTGTTGCTGTAATACTCTGAATATAATGTTAATGTGTAGTGGAGTAATAAGGTCCCAAATATTATGTCAGGCTTGCTATCGATTGAAAGGATTAGAGGTGCTCGAATTTATAACTCACACTTGCAAATGCGAGTCTTGTCACGTGATTGTTTTGGTCACTCTAAACACACAACAAGTAATGTTTTGGCACTAAACTATGGCACCCTTAATGTGGAAACTACACAAATGCATGGGCCATTAAGGAAATGTTTTAAATTCCAGGACCACCTCTCCTCACAGTGACAGGCCGGGTCAGTCACCAAGTGAAATTCCAGGACCTTATAATTTACAATTCAAGCACTCCTTAAATGCCAAAATGAAAAAATGGAGGTGATGCCAAACTTTTGAAAAGTATTGTAAATTTGTGACCTGATTTACATTTTTTAGCATGAAGTCTGAAAGTAGTAAGAGACACATTGCAGGTTTTTTTTTTAGCTTCTTTGGCATAAACAAAATTTAGTGTTACTCCGGGTGAGGCAGCAGCATGGGCTGAATAGAATGATTTCTGATGTTCCTGCCAGCAGAAGAAAAAAAAATTTTGCCCTCTACCAACTGTGATTCAGTGATTGGTTTGCCTCGCTTAATGATCCAAGAATGAGGGGAGGTAAAATTGAGGTGTTTAACTGCAAACCATCTATCTGAGGTTCATGTTTCTTTTTAAGTGTAAATCACCTCAGATGACTTCAGAGACTGAGATGGTGTATGTCTCAGTCACAGCAGAACTACACTTTATGGACAGAATAGATAATTAGAGATGAATCCCCAGCGTTCAGTAGTGGGCTCCATATGACTCTCCATGATGCTTCATGCATGCATATTGTAAAATGCCATTTGCCACATAAGCTGTTACTAAGGGATATGGAGAGGAAACAGGACTTACTTGAGTGTCTCTGAGAGGAAGAAGCTTTGCTGCATGTTATCATGGCTGACCGTCGTGGTGTAGACGTCTCGGATCCCAGAGAAGCCCGACTCCACTCTGCAGTGCTCCTCAAGGGCCTGACAGGAGATGAACAGAGGCAAAGGGCAGCTTTAATATCTTTAAACTTTATTTTACTGAACAAAATAAAGGCCACTTCTTGCAGTTGCCAGTGTGATAGTACAAACTGAATGAATACTGTTTCATTCATTTATTCATGTAGCCATGCCACTTTTTCCCTGTGACGGAACCAAATATTTTACAACTTGCATAGAAGGAATTACAGGGTGTTTAAGTAAAATACCATTTCTCTCATACAATGTGGCACAAAAAATAGAAAATTTATTACCTAAGCCATGTGTCCACTCAAAGTAAAAGAGTAAATGATGGAATATGTCAAGCCCTTCAGACAGCTACAACTGAAACTCAATACTAGCAATACTTACAGTAAATCTTACAGGGGCTAACAGAGAGAAGCTCAACTAGCCAAACAGATTAGCACATTATTACCCCTGCTACAAAGGGCTGGCTTACACATGCTAATTAAAGAAGACCCCGGCTTGTTAATTCTTGATGTTCATGAGGAAGCTGCGGTGTGCACTGCAACCTTTATGCCCGATAATTAAAGGCCTGTCAAACTCGTCAGCCTAATCTCTCCACTTCTCTGTGCACTAAATTAATGTTAAATGTATCATGCCAGTTCTCTACAGTTTATTTCCGCTAATGTCCTGTCTATTGCCACATTAATAATGGTGCTCCAGATGCAACCTGTACCTCCTGCTAGTGGGATTGCTTGATCTACAAGCTAATGCATAGTGCCACATAATATCAAGGAAGTCAGTCGAGGGTAATTGAGGGTGTTAAAGAGGCTTGACATAATAGTTGAGTGCAGTTTATAAAATCAGTGTCTAAGCCACACCTTGAAAGAAGTAGGGGCTACAGAACTGTACTCCACTAAAATGTAACATGAAATTATTTCATCTCTGTGACTGTCCTTAATGCAGAAATAGAATCAGTAATAGCTGCAAGAATTACCAAGTCACAGAATATCATTCCAATGAGATAACAAGTAGAAATCATTCTGAGTACTTTCAGGGCCCTGACAGCATGACTTATAACCAGGATAGCTGAAATTTGTCTGAAGTGTTTTGAAAATATGCTTATTTGCTTTTTTTACTGAGGGCTAGATGAGAAGATTGGTACCACTCATGTCTGTGTGATACGTAATAAACTATTGCCAATAGCCACGTAGCTTAGCAGAAACCCTAAAAAGGGGGTAAACCGTTATCTCAGCTCATCTAAAGATAAAGTTAGTCTACAAACACCTGTAAAGCTCATCAACATGCTGTATCCTATTTTCTAAATCCATACAAACATTGAAAGGATAATTTGCAACTTCAAAGTCCAGCAACTTCCCAGCGTTGGTTATTTGGCAACAGAGAAAGAGCTACTGCAGCTCTTTCATGCACATTTAGTCTGTTTTTCATCCTAATTGTCCACACTGCTCTGTTTGATACACATCTTTTGCATGGCTGTCCACCCTGTAAGAGGGATTCTTCCTCTGTTTCTTCCTGTTTTTTCCCCATTTTCTGAGGCGAATCTGTGACATTGCACTGTATAATTAAAGCTGATGTGACTTGCTTAGAGGCAAGAAATATTTGGGTACACAACCTCCTGTAAAATGGCTAACAACTTTTTGTCTAGCTTAACAAACGAGATGCAATTTGTTAATCAGTGAGCTTTAGAGGTGAGATAAGGCAGATTTGCTTCCCTTTAGGTAGAGCCAGGTTCAGTTTTCCTGTTTGCAGTCATTATGCTAAGCCAAGCTACGGGCTGTAGTATCTTGATGATCTGCTTAATTTTGAGTCAGATCAGTTTAGTAGTCAAAACAAGTTCTTTCAACTGAGGTTGTTAGCCAAAGTGAAGCAGTTTCTCTCTTTTAGAGACCTGGAAAAAGCTGTCTATGCTTTTATTAGCTCAAGGTTGGACTATTCCAAGTCTTTATTATAGGAATTAATCAATCGTGCCTTCAGCTGGTTCAAAATGCAGCGACTCATCTCTCAACAGGTTCTTGGAATTATGATCATATCACCCCTGTTCTTTCATTCCTGCACTGACTCCCAGTAAAGTACAGAATTGATTTAAAGTTATTATTATTTGCTTTTAAAGCTTTGACTGGTCAGATCTCACAATATCTTTCACCTTCTAACTAATCATAAACCAGCTGGACAACTCAGATCTTCAAATCAGCTTCTCCTGGAAGTCCCAAGGTCAAAATGTAAGTACTGGGGTGACAGGACCTTTGCACTGGCAGCCCCCCAAATTTGGAATAGCCTCCTATAAATATTAGAGCTGCAACAGACATAGGATCTTTTAAATCTATGCTCAAAACATACTTATTCAAGTTAGCATTCGGACTCTAGCTTCAATATCATATTTTATTACTACTGTCGTACCTTTATTGTTATCTGATATATTTGTTTTTAAATTTTCTTTTTCTCATATGTTTTAATTGGTACTTGTACTGACTCCTTATACTTTTTGACTTGCTTTTAATTTGGTATTATGGTAATTTTTATACTTGTATTTGCTTGTGAAGAACTGGCACAGCTTTGCTGTTTAAAAGGTGCTATATAACTAAACTTTATTATTATTAACTGACATATGAAAGTGGTATCTCTTTAACCTCTGCCAGAATGTAAATAAGATGTCTTTTTCTAGAAGAAAGGGGGTTCATAATGTTTATGGTGTCTTCTGTGTCTTACCTGAACAGCCTCCCAGCCCCAGTCTCTGTACTTGGGGTCGTGGGTCAGTCTCCACATGTACATGTAGCTCTCGATGACCTCTGGTCGCAGGATGTAATATCTGTCGCTCAGTCTAGTTGCTGTGGCTTCAGCTCCACCGTCAAATCTGAATGCCTCCGGTCCCAGTTTGGTGGCTGACGGAGACACACATGAAAATCAAAGAACAGCAAACATACCTTTTTGTCAAGCAGGAAAACAATTAAGGCATCCTCAGCTGTCCAGATGGTCCGTTGGCTTCTCTTTCTCCTCATTCTTCTCTTTGCTTCCATTATATTTCTACTGCACATCAGGACAGCAGTATCAGCATAGCAACAGCTTAAATTTAGAAACATGCTGAGAGTTGTGTAACAGCATCCAAGGTAATAACTGTGCTTCATTTGTTTAGACATTTCTTTTTCTTGTGCTTTTCTGGGATTTTTTTTAGTAAAGTCGCTGAATGGTTGCTTGGAAAATTGGACCATGGTTGGAGAAAGCATGTTCTTTGAGATCACTGTGAGTAGGTGCATCCAGCTGGACTAGAAAGTCATTGAAGTATGACAAACAGCGGGGTTGCTCAGCCAGCTGCCTCATTATAGTATAAGTGAGCACGGGCACACAAGACAGAGAGATGCATGAGATCAATAAACCCCTAGTGGCTAAAGAGAGCAGTTGGAAGGTAAACTAATAAAATCACAAAGTTGCTCTTTAGACCCTCTACTCATAAAAGGAAAAAATACCTTTGTCTATATTTGAAATGTTAATACTGAGTGAACAAAAATAACAGTAGAAATGGAGCCCATAGGGTTTTCATACCATCAATTCTCAAATTATTTTCTAGCTGTTCCTGTGTTGTATATTCTGACTCAATAAATTTGGCATACCTGAGATCCTCGGGTAGATCTGTGTTAATGATCTCAGTTAGTGTTGCCCAGGTGGAGACTGAAATCCTCACATCCCTTAACACGGTGTAGATTAAATTTAAAATGGATTAAACTGTCATTTTTGGGGTTCCCCAGTAACCCGTACTGACAATGTGAAACATGAGGTCTCTGATTTACAAACATATCAAGACTTTGCTGCATCAAATTACGGCCTATTACATCATGTTTGTTTAACTGTCCGATAAATTTGCATATATTTCTTAAAACATGGCTACGTTTTATCTTATGGGTTATTGAGTAGAGAATGATGGACAAAAATGTCAATTGTATCCATTTAAAATAAATACTGTGTAAAGAGTGAAGGGGTCTGAATACTTTCTGAAGCTACTGTCTTATGAAGCACTTTACATAGGTTATTAATAAAGGGCAATGACAGAATATTTTGTTAAAACACTGTTGCTACCAATCCAAGCCTGCTCTCACGCTTTATGTTAACACCACAGATCCTGGTTTTTTTTTCCTGGTCAAACATCTCTTCACTTGCATGACTAAATTTCAGCAGCCAGAATTAGTGACTGTTTTATTAATAAGGAAAGTCACTTTCGGCTTTTCCTGTTTAGGGGTCGCAACAGCGAATCGTCACACGCCGGATGCCCTTCCTGACGCAACCCTGACCGCAGCGGCAAGAGCACTGCGCATTAACCACTAGCCTACCAGGGACGGCAGTGACTGTTCTGTTAACAATTGGTGTATATAAGTATATAAGGTAGTTAACATTACGCTCTGTACCAGCTGCAAAGTGATGAACATGACAGTTCATCAATAATTATAATCCAATATGATATACATTAATGTAAATATGCCATTCTCCATGATGACTACTTACTCTAAGTATGTCTTGTTGTACTTAAGTAATATTTTGAATTCAGGACTTTAATTTGTAGTAGTATTTTTACACTGCTGTACTTCTGCTTTTACTTAAGTAATGTATCTGAGTACTTCTTCCAGCACTGCTGTTAATTTCCAAAAAATATAGAATATTCACTGTTTCCTAGATTTTAACAGTAGTTATAGAATAAAAAGTGATACATGCAGTCAGACTCTCTTAGATGCTCTACTGTATATCAGCTCGTACATCTCAAAGATCCATTTCACAAAGCTAAACATTAAAAGTCTTATCTAAAACCAATAACCCTTCCTTCCTCCTGCATCATACTGTTGCTGTGAAGATGGCAACGGCCCAGAGCAGTGGCAGAAGGAGCGTCTTAAAGGTGCTGTATCAGTATTTAATACACAGCTAAATAGCAGCCACTCAGCACACATGTAAGAGCCCACACTTCCTTTTTTCCTGCAGAAAGCTAAACGCCATCCACTAATGAGTGAAGAGAAACCAGGCGGATGGCTGGATGACTGTGAAAGAGAAAACCAGGCAAGCAGATCAAAGCTGCTCCAATCGTATCAAGAAACCCGTCAAGTGATGAACCACGTTAGCTTACTGAAGATGCAAAGGATGAACAGGATGAGTCCTTACAGGCCACCCAAAAGTAGAAGGGGAAAATAAACCCTGAAATTAGCAGAGGAGATAATTGTCAGGGCCAAGACAGATGCCAGGGAAGAGATCAAATATGGGTTTTCCTATATAATATGAGCAAGTGTGCTCATATGGTATGTTCATATTTTTTCCATCCTCTTTCTTGCATTTCGCTTGTGGGTGCAACCGTATCACAGCTCATTTACTCTCCCTCATTTATAGGTTGGAGCCCCAGGAGATTTGCCTGACAGTGTTTATTCTTCCATACTCCAACTCCCTTCCTTTTCCTTCTTTTTCATTCTTTATTCTGAATTTCAACTAACTATGATTATCGCTATCTAACACACTTAGAGGTGCGTCAGTGTCTGCTGCCTACAACTCTGAGACTGAGGATAATCGGGAAGTTTAATTCTTCGCTACTTCTTATTAAGCTTGTCGGCTCTCTGTTGAAGTGAAGCCACCAAGAACGATTCTCCTTTTGTGTCAGGGCAAAATGAAAACGCCCGAGGCCCTTTTAAATTACAATACTGCTTTCCTAGACTTTTAATTTTCTTCCTCTGAATGCCACAATAACCTCTTAACAAGACATAGTGTACCACAACCATGATGAACCCTAGTATTGCATTGCCATGTACTATATTGAAAAATACAGAATTAATTTGGTTCTCCCAGACATTTCCACCCACCCGAGCGTGTGTAGCTCTCGTGGCATGTGTGTGTGATCTCAGCAGCCAGGTCAAGGTAGTGCTGCCTCTTCTCTGGAGCGCCATCATCAGCCCCGATACCGATCATGCCCCCAGAAAAACAAGCCAGGTGGCCCATCTTGTGATCCAGGATCCCCCCCCTCCACTCGGCCATGTAGGTGAGCCCACCGGGTGACTTCTGTACCAGGTTAGCTTCAATCGCCTGCAGCAACACACATGGTTTGGAATATTTTATTAACATATTGTGTTCCACATAATTATGACTCCTTGGTGTACAGTGTAAGCACTTTTAAAGGGAAACCATGAGCACTTTTTTAAAAACATTTTGTCTACTATTAACAGCTTTATAGTCTGTACTAGAAGTTTGAAACTGTAGCAGCAAAGTGACAGCCCACAGTCATGCTTTCCAATGTGCTCAGGTCCTAATGTACCCAAACATATTATAGGGAAAAGGCTTTTGGATAGTTTTGTACTTGTTTCAATTAACTGCTGCCTGAGATCTGAGAAGTGTCCGTACTCTTCTTCTGCTTTTTCAGTAACCGTTTTGCGTTATTGATATTGTTTGTATTGATATTACATATAAAGATGTATCTAAACAGTTGAGTCAACACTCCATCCATCCATTATCCATACCGCTTAAATAAAAGTTAGTCAAAATTGATCTGGAATAGCTATAAATTAGGAAATGTTTCTGAAGATTAATTAAGTTCTTCCCTTGGTTACATTCACAGTGGTCATTAATTAGGACTTTCATGGCAAAATATGTTTTTTAAAAATCCATCTATGATGCAGCCCGAGCGAGGAAGTTTTTGTCGTCTTCCTTCATATCATTATCAAGATGCTCAGTGCTCCCACAAGCACTGTTTCCATAAATGCATTGTGATGTCTGAATAAGGCCATGGGGAATATTTATGAAACCAACATCAGAATGGCAAAAATCCATTTGTTTAACTGCTAAATGAAGCCACCAAGTTATATATTTCATGTCTGGAAAGTGATAGTCATCTTGTTGTTTTGCATGACTCTGCCTTTCATTTGTCTTAGGTATGATCAAAGGTTTGTACAGTTTAAATTAAATAGTAGCTTATTGTTTATCTAACAGAGTGATGGCATTGCTTTGTTTGAAATATAGGATGAAAAATTCCAAACCTCCAGTGCACCATAGTACATCTTCTTTGCATCATCATCCATCTTGTCTGACATCAGATATGATTTGATCAGATACTCGTAGAAACTATCCCCGAGGCCACCGATGGAAACGTGATCTATGGAGGGGAACAGAAAGGAAACAGAGCTCTATAAAAATATTCAGCAGGGTCTCTCTCTCTCACACACACACACACACACACACACACGCATACATCTTTATTCGGGGTATCTGCAGATCTTTAAACATCTTAAAAAGCATTAAATCCAGTTTGTTTTAAGAGGTGTTTAAAAGTCAAATATTTTCTCTGGCCTGTTATATGCAGTATTGCTGGTTACAAAATGTTTTGTTTCTAATTTAATTCTTTTCTTTGGTTAATTCACCTATTTTAAAATTTACTTGGTGAACTCTGCAGGAACCTTTTTATCCCACTCACAAATCAAGTCTTACAAACCACCACATCTGACTAACTCCTCAGGAATCGTGGTGCTTTTAAAGGTTTTGTCTTGTGGTAAAATACATAACCAGTCTTACTCAAATTTTTACATGTACTCTAAACCCACAGGCTCTCCGTTCACTTATGTAGCGGTATTTCAAAGTTAAAATCTAAGTTATGTAACACACTAAAAGCCCAAATGGAATTTGAAGCAAGTGGCTGCTGATTTCCACATACAGTTCCATATAGATGAAGATGATATTACAGTGGAGGCGTGCAAGAGTCTTCATCTAGCCACTCTTGCTTGGTGTGTGCACACTTTTGCCGACTCCCCCGCAAGGTTATCACAGTGCTGCTGAGTTTGTCCTTGACACAGACGGAGGGAGAGCTGTGACACTTCCTTTGCCTCACATGTACAGTTCTGCTTTTCCACACTCTCACCCACAACTATTAACCTTTGTAATCATCCAGATTACCACCTCTTCAGTCCCACTGTCATCTTATCCCATGATTTTTTTCACCGCTTTTCAGGTAAATCGGAAAGATCCAATTTCCTGAAGTAATTGAATTCATTATCATTTTAATAACCCAGAGAAATGGGAGTCATATAGCCACTGCTACGAGCCGGATATAAAAAATTAAAGGAAATAGGCGGATGGGTGGTTGACACAGACGAGCAGCTAAAAGAGCTCCGGCACAGGAGGAGGAGTGAGGTCTATCAGTGATGTGAAAGCTGAAGAAAGGAATGAGAAAAGGGAAAGGTACAAATCTGAAATGACCTTCAGTGAATTCTGCTGGAGAAAAACAATTAGTGTAAGAATGACATTCCCAGGGCTCAGTGAATTCTGCTGGAGAAAAACAATGACAGAATATGTGACATGAAAAGAATGACATTCCCAGGGAATCTCTGAGACGGATGTGTGATCAAGGTCACATGTAAACATAGTCTGTTTTTTGTTTCTAATAATTTTGGAAAGCCAGTGGCATTGCACTTCCTTTCAGATAAGACTGTTCAACCCCTTTCTCTGTAACACAAATTCACAATATAGTTTAATCAGTGGGGAACCAGAATGAATGCCCTGTGTACAGCAACTACAGTACTTACGTTGGACCCAGTTGCCGCTGACTGGGCTGAGGAAGTTTGGATACAGGCCATGGGGTTTTTCAATCTTGTTCAGAAGTTTCCTGATGTTCATCACCTGCAGAGACACCAGAGCAGGAATCACTGCCATGGTTTCACACAGCTTACTGTACTGTATCATTGCCTTAGGGCTTTAAAGCATCACGCAAAGATGTTGTGCTAATAAGAATTCAGGGGTCATTGTACTGTAAATGGATCGCACCAGTAAACAGTGCGAGTGCAATACATCAAACCTTCTCTGTGTAGACAGGATTGCCAGAGAGTTCTGTGAGATGCACAAATTCAAGATGCAGGGTACCAAACTCAGCCAGGATGCTGCTCCCAGCTGAGGCCCATCCCCAGCTCCAGCTGGTGCCACTGCAACACAGACAACATGCAAACAGGTAGATTTAGTCATGGCTATCACACACAGGCAAGTACCAACACTTAATGTCATATACTGTGTATTATGACAACATAAATCACAAAGGTGGCAGAGCACTGAATTTAGAGGTTGGAGACATGCTGGAAAGGCAACTGACCCAGATTGTGAATTCAAACGGTCAAAAACACACTTGGCAAATAAGCAGAAATATCTTAATTTCTTTTATAAATGGCTGAAAAAGGAACCTAAGGCTGCATGATGGTAGTCAACAGGCTTGTTAGTCTAGAAGAGAGGGCCACAGTTGAGGCTTTGGCTGTCACAGTCTTTACGTGCTTCCTTGTTTGTGACTTATTATAAACAGGAGCAAGTTCCTCCTTTACTGCCAGGTGTGAAATGCACAATAGATTTATCACAGCCACCGTTGTTTTGTGTAAACCTGATTAATGCTCCATTGTTACTTAATAGCCAACTTTGTTCACTTATTAAAACTGAAATGTCGAAATGTTTACAGCATGTGAGCTATTAGGCTGAAAATCTACCAGGAGATAAGAAGACAAAAGTATTTTAAATCTGATGTGATAGTGGGTACAATAGAACTAAATATACAGAAATTTTGTATATGCAAAAAAAAGTTCCTTCTTGCGATATGCGTAATACTGTATGACTTTTCCAAAAATAAAAGCATCAGTGGTGTATGAATGCAGTCAGTGAATCTGAATTCTATATAACAAACTTCTGAATGTCACCATTTTGATGTGAAGTTCTGTTAAAAGTTTTCTAGGCAGCTGCGGCTTCATGTAATTCTACTGTATCAGCAACAGTATTACTTGTAAACCCTGGTCAGCTAGTGCAGTACTGTAATTCTTTCAGTTCTTCCATGTTCTGTTTTAGAGGTGATTCTCCCACAGTTATTACACTGTACATCACAGTCAGAAAGTAACTGACCGAGCTCTTGGCCTTCTGTGCACAGACTCTTGATGCATCACAATGCACACACACTTTGGTCTTGCTTTTTATTTCCTTTTCACATGGCAGTCAGTAACCATCTACTTTCTCCCCAAGTCAGTGTGGGAGATATCAACCTGTGCAAATCTAATTCTCAGTAAATGTGTGGTTTCAGAGATGAGGCATTAATGTTTGCTCTGATTAGCTGAGGCAGAACGACTTTACATATCCTCTAATAGATCCTGGGTTAGAGCAGGCATCCAGTAATGAATTGAACTGAATTTGTAAGAGGGGAAGAAGAAGATGGGGGAAGTAAATGGGGAGATGGCTGGCGTGTGAGGGCAGAGGGGAATCAAAGAGTTTGCCACTATGATAGATGCAACCATTAAAAGTTTGGGGGCGACATCATTAGTAGCTCTGGCTCTAGTCACAGCTGATTTCCTCCATCAACAATCAATCTAAGAATCAAAGCGGAGGTGAAGGGCGGCAGGTGGGGTATTTGCGTGTGTGTTGCCTGGTAAGCACCAACAGCAGCGCTCATGTGAATTTTAACAGAAAAGCTAGGCTACATTCACACACGTATCAAGTCAAGCTGTGATCTCTCAATATACAGAATATAAGTAAAAACCATTACTTCTGTGGATGATAATGAATAAACAAACATATGTCTGTGTTTCACTGAGATTTTAAGTGTTATCAGGACCATCTACTGTAGGAACCCCAGTGTTATCATTAACATACTGGCCCCTACTTTGAGGATCCAGGCATCTGATCAGGATGTATTATGGCAAGTGGTGTTTGGGTGTCTATGCTCATGTCGGTAATTTGACAAACAAGGAAAAATGGTTCAAGCACCAGTGCAAGCAGCAAAAGGGCTGTACTTGACCACCTCATTAAAGCAGGGGTGGATGTAACATGCAATTATCCAATCGGTGTGTAACCTCACATCCCCTTTAAGAGACCTGTGGGTTTGAACATTTGACGGACTGCTAGCATAGTGCTGGACTTGCCAGGTCAGGCCAAGATCTGCTCATGCACGAGGTGAAGGTACATGATTATAACACCCAGTGAACACTGTCATCTTTTTATTTTTATGTTTTTCATGTTCTGTGCAGCGTGTCCCAAAGCTCCCATTAACCAGCAATGATGATTTGACTGATGATGATTTGAACCACAGACCTGGTTTTGCTGGTCATTTTGCATCCTCATGTTACCAACGCACCCAAAATTCACTTGAACACACCTGTGGGTGCGCAGTAAATGAACGCATGGTAAAAAGGCAACGTGATGAGCATTTCATGAAATCGGTAGTCGCAAAGGTAGGAAACACACTGTTGTTTAGTTCAATGATGAATAAATAAATAAATACTGAAAAGTGCACAACACAAATTCCTAAAGCCCAGTGCAACATCTTCCTATTGCTTGTGTAGTCTAACAAACAAACTAAAGCTTTAAGATGTTTAGTGACTAAACAAGACAAAGGCAAGCACAAACTAGACAATGGTTGGACATTTTACCAGAAAAAGTACTATTATTTAATATTTATTTAACTATTTAATTGACCGTTTGTTTAAAAAAAAAACAACCTAACTATTAGAGATTTGATATGTAAGATCAGCACCATCCTCAAGAAGGCACAGCAGAGGATGTACTTCCTGCACCAGCTCAGGAAGTTCGACCTGCCCCAGGAGCTGCTGATACAGTTCTACAGAGGAATCATCGAGTCTGTTCTCTGCACCTCCATCATTGTCTGGTTTGGCTCAGCAACCAAACAGGACAAGCACAAACTTCAGCGGACAGTCAGGACCTGGACACCTCACGGTTCAAAAGGAGGGCAGAGAGGATCACTGCAGACCCCTCACACCCAGGATACAATCTATTTGAACTCCTCCCCTCTGGATGGCATTACAGGTCACTGTGCTCCAAGACAACCAGGCACAGGGACAGTTTCTTCCCCCAGGCTGTCGCTTTGACCCATGACAGTAGGACTGGATAATAACCCTCAGTGCAATACCTTCCCCCAGTGAAATATCGGTAACTAAACATTGTACATATTATAAAGATCCACACGGGTCTCTATTTTAAGTACTTAATTTTTATTTTATTTTTATCTCATTTCCTAATGAACACTCCTTTGTCTGTTTGCATTGTTTATTGCTTGTTTACACTGTTTATTTTGTCACACAGCCTTATGTTGGTATATTGTTTACTTGCCCCTTGCTGTTGCCTTGCATGGGGATATGTACATGCACATTGAGAGCCGCTGCACCAGAGTCAAATTCCTTGTGTCCAACACACCTGGCAGGTAAAGCAGATTCTGATTTGGATATTTATCAATACTGGAATTTTGTCTAATGTACTCGAGTTAGCATAGAGAAATTTTATCTGAAGCAGATTATTGTATAATATTCTCCTCTAAACACACATTGTATGTTGTTGTGTGTGTCTGAGTGTCAATCCATGACTACATTATGGGCAATGTGGATCTTCCTGCCCATCTGTATCACTGATCTGTGTTGGTAATGCATCAGGAATTAACTGCAGAATAAGGTAATTAAATCTGCCAGTAGCTGTCCAGCCTGGCTGGTGGGTTAATTGGTAGCAGGTGGAAAACAGAGGTGCCAGGAAGTGTCTTAGCAAATGAGAGGAAGAGGAGGCTATCTGCCACAAGAGGAGTTTAGCAGTTTAGTTTTGGCTAAATAAATTACTTCCTACAATCAGACATAGCTGTATGAGTATAATATGTTAGATTGAGTCTCATAGGCCAACTCAGAATAATAACTAATAATCGGAATCATAATGTAAACCTCTTCCAGTTCTTCATGCATCATAGTGTATCTTGGCTTTCCAGCTAGCTTCTGCTTGAAAAGGGTAAAAACCCAAACCTAAATGAAGACAACTTGAAATCCACAGTCACACTGCTCTGAGAATGAAAATAGCTTGAAGTTGTGCTGCGTGACTGTGGCATTAACAAGATCGTGTCAGTAAAGATTTTAGATTACAAAGGTAATGGCTTGGAACAGATTAGAAATTTACACAACTCATTTAAAACATGCAGATTAATTCTTATCCAAATGTCATGGACATTATAAAGCTCAGACTGCAGCAGCGCCATTGTCAATAAACAGAGACTGAGGGCCCATTTTTTTAGCCTATACTTTGACTTAAAAAAAAACAATTATTAATTCACTTTTACAGTATGAATCTTGTTAACTGAATTACTCTTTGACTTCTTTAGGACATGATTTTATTTTATTTATTTATTTATTTTTTTAATCGTGTGTGTGTGCCAAACTGGCCCAAAAGTTTGCAACAGCTGAAAGATGAACTTCAATGTGCTGCACCACATCTAAAAATTAAAGGAGGGCTCGGTGCATTTTTAACATTTTTCCTGTTTGTTGAAAACAGGGAAAATATCTTGGCTGTTACCAAGATGAATATGCTGACTAAAGCTGGCCACCCTGGTGACTCCACATCATCATTTATCAGGGATAGAGGAGGACTTCTGGAGGTGAAGGCAGGTGCTGAGACTCACCTCCCCAGGTTGATGACTCCTCGGGGGATTCCTGTGGGTGTGCTGAAGGCAGGTAGCAGCTTCTCTCCCAGCTCCACTGCTTTGTTCTTGAACAACTGGGAAGAAAAAACAGAAGAGAACTTCACTAACTATACACACACCTGTATAACATGTGTGTGAGTGTTTTATCTTGCTCTTAATTAGAATTACATATTTTACCAAGATTTAAACGGTCAGGTTAACAAAGGTATTTCAAAAGCCCTGGACACATTTTCCTCTAAAAGCTAATTATGTGAAACACAAGGCCTGCTAAAACAAAACTCCAACAGGATTAAAAGCAATCTCACTGATGCAATCTATCCCCATCTCCACCAGCCAGACCCTGTGAGGCCGAGGTTAAGACCAAGATAACGTATCATCTTATGAGCTGGATTATCAGTCACCAGATCTCTTTTAGCCAGATACTGAAATCATGACAGTGAGAGAGACATCAGAGAAGGCAATAAGGTTAGCAGAGCAGAGACAAGAGGAAAAGAGCACATTTCTATAGAAGACAGAAAACCTTGGAGATGTGAGAGAGCAGCAGAAGTGACCGAGAAGACGAACATGGGACTGGAGGGATAACAGAGTCTAGACAAAGACGGCATGTAGTCAGAGTGTTTGTGGGCATGGCAGCAGTGTGAAGAGCAACGACTCAGTAGAAATCCTGAGAAAGATAATGAGAAAAAGAGCATCAGCATTCACTGGCCTTCACTGTAGTTATATATAGTTATGTATACTTTATTGTCTCCCTCAAATTCATAGTAGGCTACAATTTTGCCGCATCAAGTGCCATTCACACAGAGTACTCAGTGTTTGTACAATATGGTACATACAAAAACAGTAAAATCTTTGAGGACAGTTCTCCCTGTACGAGCAGTCTGAAACATAGAAGCTTGTTTCTTCTTACTCAAAAATGAGAAAGTATCATTCTACATTTAAAGAGGAAGCAAATGTGCTGTTTTAAGTAAGGCTGTAGGCTACAGCCTGAGTCCTGTTGTATTACTCAGCATTTGTTTACATTTTGGCAAATGTGTATAATTAAAGCCAAATTAGCTACTATATCAGCAGTTCCTGTTGGCAATGCACCCATTAATGTACAGAAAACTGTCAATGTATTTCTTGATTCTCAGGCAAGTTCTGCAGTTACAAAAATTTCTTACACACACACACACACACACACACACACACACACACACACACACACACCCCGATCAGGCATAACATTATGACCACCTGTACATCTGTATGCAACACTTCTGCCTTAATATTTGTGTTTATGAAGCTTTTGGTGAGATTGTCATAAATGTATAAATTCAATTTTATGTTCATTATTAAGGTCATAGTTAAATGTGGTGTTGTACTGGACTACATTATATTTTTGTCCTGCTCATTGACATACATGAAAGGGTCAGAATATTAGGAACAGCCCCTCTGAACTAACAGCTGCCAGGCTGACAGCAGGGTCACAAGTTTTACACCTGCTTTCTCCTGACATTAAATTTCAACCACAGTTCCCTTTGTCACACCGGTGGTGTATCAGGTGCTGAGAGTATTTGTATAAATTTCCATTCTTTCCTCCCTGATGTGTGCATCCCTGAATAGGAACGCCTTAAAATACATACTGCATGAGACAGAATGCGCAAATTCCTGCGGTGCCATTGTTCTTCTGTGTCTCCCACACAAAACGTCACAGCGACGCCAAAGTAAATATGATCATATGCAACTTCACTGTTTAGCACCAGAAAATGAACCACAAAACCTGAGTAAATATCCCTCATTGTGTGAGAAATCAAGGGACAATGGAACAGGTGCCTTCTGTACCACCACTAATGCTTGAGCCAACTAGAAGCTCACTGACACACAGTTGTTCTTGCATCATTTTGAATTTCACTACAGTAATGCACTTTTCTTCATGTTATCATGCACAGCTAATCGAACCAGCCAGCACAAGCGCGTTACTTCATTCCTCAACATGAAACACCTAAACTTACGCTGCTGCATCAAGTAACAAACAGGCATGAAGCAAGGGCAGCTGATTACATTGCAGTCATTTATTATTGTCTCCGTGTTTATAAATTACTTGATTAATTACGGTTAAATCCTCATTCAGCTGGCATCTGCTCTATTTATTACTGTACACAGAACACAAGCTAAATTAAAGGCCGTGTCCATAAATCTGTCTTCATCGACACGCTGCTGGTCTCTTGTGCCTCCTGTAGCAGTGTTACTGTAATTACACTGTGTGCGTCTGCACACTCTACTCCATTCATCCAGTATGGCAAAGCAGACTGTTATGAACAGATTTTTACATTTTCTACCAACTCAGTCTAATAAAAACAGCAGAATTGGGGGAACTGGGCAAAGAGTAAAGCTGATCTGATGTGACAGCCGACAGATCACTTTCTTTCCTCTCAGTTGGTGTAAAGGAGGCTGGACAAAAATGGCTTTTCTATAAGCTCTTAACTACTGAAGACATATATCAGGCATACAGCCATCTATCCTACAGCAACATCATCAGATACCAGTGGAGAGATGCACTGAGGATCTTCTTTGTCTGCCACTTCTGTTTACTAGTAAAACCTCTCAGTCCACAACTCGGGGAACAAGGGGAATGTGAAAATGTGCCTACGCGCTCATCCTTGTCAGCTTTAAGATAATATTTTAACCCTCTACACATCCAGCTGTTGGTGGATAATGCTGTTACTAGAAACACTTCATGCAACAGCTGGAAAAATGCATTTTGCATGTGTGTTAAAAGGCACATGTTTGACTTAAAAGCTGGAGCTCAGATGTTTTTTCTTAATGTCAACAAATCACAGTGATCAGAACCAACAATGCATTAATTTGTCTCAATGCTTAATCTGCCATTTTTGGCTCTGACAAGCCCATTTTAAAAAGAA